TTTTTTTTTTTTATTTCTAAAAATATTATATCAATAGAAATCTATTATTTTCTTTTACGAATTAAAACATTAAATTACTATTCACTCGTATTTGTAAAAGAGCTGCGGGATCTGGTGTAACTCAATCAAATCAGCATGGTGCTGATTTGATCAAATTAGCATATTACATAAAGATAATAAACATATATTATATATTAATATATTTATGATTGTTATATTATAATATTTTACTGTGTTATACAAAATTATATATTGTACACTTTATTTGATATACTGATCAGATCAAATCAGCAACACCAAATCCACGCCATTGATTGTAAAAGTATGCCCATTTGTCATTTCAATCTATCTACTAAATTGTGCTCATACTATATTTAATAAATTAATACAAACATTTTAAAAATTTTACCAACTATTTTTCTATTTATTTAGGCTATTGCTACAATTCATTCAACTCTAACTAATTCAAAACTTATATTACTAACCCTATCAAAATTATAACCCTATCCTTATAAAAGTACAAAAATTTAAATTACAACTTTTTAATCTTCATATCCAAAAAATTTGAATACACTTTTACAAAATGAATGGATTATTATACAAACTCAAATAACTTAAAAACCCCAAATCAAAAACAAACCCAAATAACTTAAAAACCCCAAATCAAACAAACCCTAAATTTGTAATATAATCTTTCACACACAAACACACATATGTATAAATATTATATATGTATATATATATATACCTTTGGGTTCCATATGATGTGGGCATGTGCAAGTTCAAGTCGTCGATCTGCTTACTTTGATGCTCTTCTCCATTGGGAAATGAGTTTAAGAGAGTTGTAAGAAATTTTGAAATTAATGAAATGAATATATGAATGTCTGTGCAGAAGTGTAGTCAGATTAATAATTAATTGTAATGTGTATGGAATTGCTTGGGGATGATGAGTTGTTCGTCGTTTACTTATTGTAATCCTCAAAATCATCGAGCAATATTTAAATTAAATATAATAATAATAGTATACAGTACTACGTCGTTTAATTAATTAATTTATAATGAAGGGAAAAGTGCAGTGTTTTGACGGGACGTGATTCGCAGTTTGTGGGTGTCTTAAGATTCTTCGAATGCATCTTCTGGGGATTCCAATGAAACCGACAACATACGACAAATTAATTTCATTCAAAAGTCACTTACCTTTAATTCTTCACAATATATATATATATATATATACACTTTTTTTTTTTTTTTTTGTCTTATTTTATTTTAGGGTTGGTGTATATGATTTGGATCAGGGTTTAGAGATATTTTAAAAGTACTTTGATGATTTGAAATTATTTGAAAATAATAAAAGATTGAATCAAGAATAGGTATTTGATGACATAAATAAATGTTGGATGTTATGATTTGAATAAAGAATATGCTTATGATTGAATGTGTTAAATGGAAAATATATATTTATGATTTTAGTGAGATATGTTTTGTTGAATAGTGCTAAAATAAATTTGAAAATATAACTTTAGAGGGTGTCGGTTTTTTAGAATTGCTAAATGGAAATTTGGTTTTGAAAGAGGCATTTTAAGTATATAGAAAATAGGTACATGGTGTGATTGATATATATATATTAAAAAGAAAGTTGGGAATCCTGTGCTGATTCAACTAAGTCAATATAATACTAATTTAACGTGATATATGTTATACATATAACCAGCCTATGGTTATACACAGTACATCATATGTTAAATTATAATATAATATTATATTATAAATATGTTGAGATATGTATAAATATATGTTAAATTCTTGTATAACACATGTTGATTCGGTCAAATCAGGATTAAGCTGACTTGACCGGATAAACAACTAATTCATGCCCTAAAACGAAAATCATTGTTGACTGTAAAATAAATATTTGATTTGACGATTTATGTTACAATGAACAAATAAATTATTATTATTATTAATGGTACGGAGTATAATAAATTTAAAACACAAACAAATTAGCCCTCAAGTAAATATACTTGATTCAATAAAACTTGACAATTTAAATATATATACTCCCCCGGCCCGAGACTAAATATTCATTTGTTTTTTGCACGTAGTTTTAAAAATATTAGTATTATATTGGGATATAGTAGGAATAAAGTAGAAATGACTAAAATAACCTTATTAGTATGCGTGATATAAAGGTAATGACATTTGTGTAATATATTGTAAGTTGTAAGGGTATTTGTAACGTTAGGTAGATAGTACAATAACTAAAAAAGGAAATTTATACTTTGTTATGAGACAGACTAAAATAGAAAAAAAGATACTTTGTTATGGAACGAAGGGAGTATATATATTTAATTTAAACACGTAAATTAAACCCCCACCCCCCTTCCCCCCCTATTACAACATACATACAAATATCCACTTCCTTTAAATAATAATATATAAATATTTTTGGTCCCTTGGAGACCCAAAGTTTTACACTTTTTTGCATATCCATATATATTGTTCCATTCGATTGACCAATATAATATATATATATATATTTGTGTTGTTTTATTTGATATTTAAAAAATGAAAGAAGTATTTTTTAAAAAAAAGAGAAAAAGCCATAAAAGAAAATGAGATATCTGTAGTCGTCGCTAGCTGCAGCCATGAAAAGAAAAGGCACATGGATGCGTAGCCCCACTGGAGAATAATGCCATAAATAATATATTAATATTATCGGAGATTTTAATATTATTATTATTATTTTTATTATCATTATTATTATTATTATTATTATTATTATTTTTATTATTTTTATTATTATTATTATTATTATTATTCTCAAAATCAATCTACGACTGGTCTATTTTAAGCTACTGCTGCTACTGCTTGTGGGCTACCCACAAAACACACACGCAGTCGATAAGTCACGCCTACGGTCCGCATGGAACAAATATCGTTCCATTTACACAAAGGTTATTGGAGTTTTTGAATTTTTATTTTTATTTTTTTTTTGCAAATAGTTAAAAATTATTTATTTGATGCGATCTTTTGTAAAAATATATATATTTAATTTTATTTATTATAAAATTATTATTGATAAATAATGTTAAAATTTATAAAAACATATAATTAAATGGAATATATATATATATATATATATATGATATGTTATAAAAATGGACCCAATGTAAGGAAGGGATGGATATATCCACATGGCGGTTTGGATACTACAACATACTACGTACACTACACGCAAGTTTATTTGCATATGTTTATTTTATACTCTCTACGTCCACTCTTGATGGTCACATTTATATTTTGCATCATTATATTTAACATTAAAAATATTTTTTTATTTATATAATTTTTTATACAAATGTTCTTAAATTAGTATTATAAGACACTAATAAAAATATTTTTGCAATTTTTTCTTAATTTGTATTACATTTTGATATAATAATTAATATTCACATATCAACACTCAAAAGGTAAATGAGACCCTTAGAGTTGGACGAAGATAGTATTTTTCTTTGAATAATAGTTTAGATAGTTAAACATGGTGTTTTGTCAGATAAAATAATATATTTTTACAGAAAACCACGTTGATGAAATAGTAAAAATGTAATAACAATTGCCAAATGAACAAAGCTGACAATTTGGTGGAAATTGTAATTTTCTAACGGGTAAATTAAGGGCTCTATTTACATTGATACCTTTTTTTTCGAAACAATAAATTAAGGGCCCTATTGAATGATATATCAAAATTATAGGAAACGGTAGCATAAAATTTAAATATTGGATCATAGTATAAATAATTAATTGTATTGAATTTGCGCTTATATATTGAAAGATATATAAAAATGTACAAAGTATGTTGAACTGAAGTATTCAACATATCGCTAAATTCAGCACAAGATCCGTATCATTATTATTACATGCATGTCGCCCGCGCTTTCGACTTTTCTATATATATATACATAAATGTCTTTATACATGCTTAATATAAGTTTAATTAGGCATATGCTTCTGTAGAAGATTTGTAACTTTTCATCTTTGTTTTTTTCTGATTCAAACAGTGGTGATAATTGATTCTATGATTATCTGTATGTGTCTGTATTACATATAAGTAAAACAAGTGAATAAGGATAAGAGCTAATCATGCATGTGTCTGTATGGAATCTCTTGTATACAATCAATTTAAATTCATGATGTGTAATAAAATGATACAAAATTGGGGCTGTCATTGTTGGCTCAGAATTATAAAAAAATAAAATAAAAAAACCCACCCCACACTTTTGTTCCCATCTGCAAAATTAATCAAGAATTTAATCTTTCGAAATGGCTGACTCATCTGATGTACAACACACACTTGCTTTCCAAAACCAAACAAACATGTAATATCGACCCTCTTACTAATCTCCATTATTACAAAATTAATATTGTCCCGTAAAAATATAACCTAACCGTGCGGAGTAAACTCATGACAGTGATATCATATGTTCAAACCCTCGATGCATTTTGAACAACAGAACTACAAAAGCAACAATATTTCTCATATTGACCAAATCAACATTTGTCACGAAGATAAATAACATTTTATATATATATATATATTTTGTAGGGCATATGCTATATATTATAACTCAACATAGGATAAATTATAGCATAACATGTATTGTATTATATATAAAAAAATATTGTTTACCTTCACGAGTCGTATTGATTTGACCGGATTAGCATCGGATATATACTCTACATACTCTCTCTCTCTCTCTCTATATATATATATATATAATACATATGATGATTTGTAGCACTACAAAAATGATTTGTAGCATGATGATGAATGCAAGTAGCCTCAGAGTAAGCCAAACCAAAACTGCTTTCAGTCATTACTGCAAAGAGACAAATTCCAACTCCCACTTTCCGACAAAAAAATCAAACCCCTCGCCGGCCACCTCACACATATATCCATCCAACAGATCATCATCGTCATCGTCATCATCAGCTGCCCCTTAGCTGCTTCAATTCATTTCTTTCTTTCTTTCTTTCTTTCTTTCTTCCCAGATTTGCAATTCTCTCTGATTTGAATCTGAGAATTGAAGAATTCTGTAAGAAAAAAGAGACAGGAGCTTTATTAATCTGTGATTTCGTCGAATTCAGGCACAAGTCCCTGTTGATCTGACCATGGGAAGAGGAATAATTTTGATCCTGGAATTAAAGATGAACAGTCCATTTCTGTTGGATTCATTTGCAGGGAAAGTGTTTTTTTCCCCCAAATTGTGCAGAAAGATAAACCCTAATTAGAGATCGTTACGTTTCCCAATGGCCAGGTACCACTCCCAGTCTAGTCACTTTCTTTCCTTTCTGTCCCTCTAATTTTATCTTATTTTTAATTTCTCCCCACCTTCTTCCACCTCCAATTTCTTGCTACCTGTTTTCCGATTTGCCCTCTTCTTAATTCTTACAACTCATTGGTTTGTAACAAACTCCTGCACTAGAGGACACCCCCCCTCCCACCCACCCACCTACCTTATTACACCCCCACCCACCCTACCCATGATGCAATTCACTGCAGAAACCTTTCATCAAAACCCTCCTTTCTCAGCTGCTTCCATGAACAAGAACTTGCAGGCTCTCCGGTCCAGGCCCTGGCCGGGATTTCCGACGCCGAAATCGATCGGGAGCTTTGGGGACGCCAATTGTATGGAGCAATTGCTGGTGCACTGCGCCAACGCCATCGAGACCAACGACGCCACTCTGGCGCAGCAGATCTTATGGGTTTTGAACAACATCGCGCCGCCGGACGGCGACTCGAACCAGCGGCTCGCCGCCGGTTTTCTCCGGGCGCTGATTTCCCGAGCCGCTAAAACCGGCAACTGTAAAATGCTCACCGCCGTGGCTAACGTCCACGCCAACGATCTCGCCATGGAAACCCACAGATTCTCCATTATTGAGCTCGCGAGCTTCGTCGATTTGACGCCGTGGCACCGGTTCGGGTTCACGGCGGCGAATGCCGCCGTGCTCGACGCCGCGGAAGGCTCGCCGGTGGTCCACATCGTCGATTTGAGCCTGACTCACTGCATGCAGATCCCAACCCTAATCGACTCCATAGCCACCAGACTGGAAGCTCCGCCGCTGCTGAAACTCACCGTCGCCGACACCATGGAAGACCTTCCACCAATTCTCGACCTCTCGTACGACGAATTAGGGTCAAAATTGGTCAATTTTGCTCGATCGAGAAACGTCGCCATGGAATTTACTGTAATTTCTTCAACCTACTCCAATGGCTTCTCTTCTATAATCGATCAGCTTCGAATTCAGCAATTACTGAGCTCGGAAAACAGCGAAGCCCTAATTATCAATTGCCATATGATGCTCCATTACATTCCCGAAGAAATCCTCCCCAATTCATCGTCCTCCATTGACAACACCTTAATCCCAAACAACTCTTCTCCCCGGACAATGTTCCTGAAAGCATTGCGAAGCTTGAATCCGGCGCTGGTCTTGGTCGTCGACGAGGACGCCGACTTCACATCGAACAATCTGGTGACTCGATTGAGATCTGCTTACAATTATTTATGGATTCCGTTCGACACAGTGGACACATTTCTGCCGAGAGGGAGCAATCAGCGGCAATGGTACGAGGCCGACATTTGCTGGAAGATCGAAAACGTGGTTTCGCACGAAGGATGTCAGAGAGTGGAGAGGCTGGAACCGAAGAGCAAATGGGTGCAGAGAATGCAAGGCGCGGGCTTCAGAGGAGTGGCGTTCAGCGAGGACGCCATTGGAGAGGTGAAGAGCATGCTGGACGAGCACGCGGCAGGCTGGGGAATGAAGAAAGAGGAAGACGATCATCTTGTTCTTACATGGAAAGGGCATAATGTGGTTTTTGCTACTGCTTGGACACCTCTTTGATTAGTTTAAGGTAGCTGATTTAAGTTCGAATCTTAATTATATATTATTGCCAGAAATTCATATCGATCAGTTTTAATTTAGCTATATATAGCAGCATATATATATATATATATAGGTTGCTATTTTTACCATCATCCATGGCGGACGTTCGACTGATCAGTTCTACAAAATGTACTGATTATTGTAGTGTGGGTATGGAAATTTTCGTAATCATCGTCTTCTTTAACTTTTATCTTCTTTTTCTTCTTCATGGACGCGTGCGTTATTTTGTTTTTTGCATATCTCTGAAGCTTGCATATGGTTTATGCGTCAATTATCTAAGTGAGTGTCATTTCTTTTGTATAGTTAAACTAATTTTAGCGTTAATTACTGCTTGTTCTTTTGCTGGAAAGGAATATGTTGATATTTTAAGGATATATATAAGATTTTCCAAAAATATTATTAAAAAATTATAAATATATGTTATACAATATAAACATATGATAAAAGTTGATAAAAACTACACAAAAGCGCACAATAATATTTGTTAGAATATTTTCATAAATTTTTATATTTTACAATTTAAAAAAATTCAAACTATAAATACTAAACAAACACAAATATATATTCAATGTGATTGTGGTATTGAAACATGGTATTTCTTTTCATTTAATTGGTGTATAAGATGTAGTTTTGAAATGTTAATTTCTTTGATCCAAATGTTTGGAAAGAATATTGGTGGTGTATGTTTTTGGGAGTAATTTTATTTTTGTTTTGATGTTTTTTTAGTTTTTTCAATAATTGAATGTAATGTACGTATGGAAAAATTTGTAAATGATATTATATTTTTTATTGAAATTTTAAAAGTTGAACAGTAAAATTTAAGAAAAAAAAAAGAAGGAAAAACACAAAAATAAAATTGATATATTATTATTGTGTTCAGGGTAGACAAAAGTTCTTTGGCTTTACAATATTCGATTTGATATGTGTTCAATTTAATCTTCACAGTCACTACTTGAATAGTGTGCTTTTCGATAAAGTTGCTCTATACCGGCCTTTCTTGTTTATCGTAATAGCGTTGAACTTATTACGTGGTTGGCCTTGGCAAATGTTTCGAGCAAGTAATAGTAAATTCAACAATTTAACTAATAATTTAACTGCAAAATCGACAAAAGAGGTTAGTCAAGTCGCGGGCAATCATAATAAGTTAGTCAAGTCGCGGGCAGTTATAATAAGGTAGTTCGGAGGCAACCCCTTTAATAAAGGCGAAACGGAAAGTTGGTGTATCCATCGTTAATGGTGTTGGTGAAGTGTAACTTATTTGACGATGGTTACAATTTAAAAAGAGCGTGAAAGTTTGCCGAATACGACACATATGGTTGATTGTTATAATCAATATATAAATTTACTCTTTAGGTGATTTTTTGAAACAAATTTGATGATATTTAAATATTAATTGAGAATTATTTTAAATTTCATCCGAAAGTTAAAATATATTTAAACTTTTTTTGTAATGTGTATACACATTTGTTAAATTTTGTAAATCACGTAATAGGAACGCACCCTTGCCTCGATGTGCAAGAAATAATTTTTTTAGGGTTGAAATTGAATTTGTAGTTACATATATACCTTAAATTTTTTACACTATTTATTAAAGATAATTTTCTAAATATATTTGTATATATCACATTAAATATATATTTCGTCTCAAAACTTTATTTAATTTAAATAAGTATTTTTTTTTTGGTGATTTAACTATGTAGTTTAAGTATTTAATTTGATAATTCTAATGAAAAAATATTACACTTTTTGGAACCTTAAACAAACATGCTCTAAATAATTTTAAATCAATTATAAATAGTGTTGAATCAAAACATTCATAATAATTTGTCAAATAATATCCCTAAACAAACAAATTTAGGGTTTATTTACTTTGATCCACATATATATATGTATATATCTTCTTATTTAATTTTTTTTAAAAATTTAAGCTTTCAATTTTATTTAAATAAATACATTAAACCTGCAATTAATTAAAAATAAATATTTGTCCCGGAAGGGATGGCCGTGGTGTAAGGGTTGAACATGTGACCGTTAAGTCATGAGTTCAAATTCTCGACGTCTCAAGTCACTTGCCACAACTTTTTAATTGGGCCTGGTTTGCAGGGTATTAAGTTCGGTCGGAGATTTACCCAGTGCGCACTTTCGGGTAGCGGAAAAAAAAAATAATAAAATTGATTTGATAGTTTTATAACTAAAAATTATTAATAATACCATACTAAAGGCTATTATTTGAAACTAGCACCAGCTGATCAGTTGAGTATTATTATTATTATTATTATTATTACTTAATTCAACTGGGGAGTATATATTATCAACCAAGCTTAAGCTCTTAGTTTTATAAATATCACAAGTTCGAACTTGTTAAGAACTTTTTATTACATTAAACTTGAGCTTGAGTTTTATATGTTATACATTAAAATGTAATAAAAATACAATGTTAATAATTATTATTGGGTTTTGTCTAGTCAAATCTATTCAAACTCAAATAATTTTGTGATCTGAATCTGGATTGTCAATGTGTTCAATGACCCAAGCTTTCAAGTAACTTAGCTTACATAATACTATCATAGTCCTATATTTGAAAGTGATTTGATTGTTTGTTTGCCAATAATAAAATTTTAAAATAAAATAATTATTTAATATGATACAAATAAGTATTAAATCAAGAATCTTGAGATAATAATTGTATTACTATTAATACAAGACCGCATATTTTTAAGAAATTTTTTGTGTCTCTTCCCACATGACGCATATTTTAATTTCCCTTCTGGGCAGTGAAGATGAAAGCAGTTTTGGGCCTTGTTAGGTTGACCTCTTATGGATCTGCTGACTTCACTTCATACTCTCCTCGGACACTGCCAATCAATCATTGGCAAGCCTTAAGCCTAATAACAATAATAATAATAATAATAATAATAATAATAATAATAATAATAATTAAACATGTTTTCAGGGACGAATCGATTAATTTCACTCATTCTTTCCCATTGACTATTTTCCAAACTCATTAAATTGCAGAATTCCCCTCTTTGACTTGACACTCTTCTGACCTCCCCCCACAAGATCACCACCACACCACACCCCACCCATTCTCCTGCTCCATCGATTTTGCACCTTGCTCCCATTTCTATCTTCTCTCCGAATTCGATTCCAAGATTTACTGATTTCTTGAAATCAAGACTCTCCCGCAGGTTGTAATTCAGCCAGCCAGGTGAGGTTTTTCTTTTCTGGGTTTTGATTTTGATTTTCGTGTGCTAAAAAAGGGGTTTATTGCGAAGTCGATCGAATGTTTACTTTCGATTCAATAATATCGGACTGTTCAGCATTGTGCCCATTGCTATTTAGTTTCTTGGCTATTGCTCGCTAAAAACCTGTAATTTTGCACGCTTTAAGCACGTGATTGCTATGTTTCGATTCGTTCGTAGATTGGATTATGAACAAAATTGAGTTTCTTGGTATGAAATTCGTATGGGTTTTGCTCAATTTTGCAGATTTAGAGACTATTCAATGGCCATTTCCGGCGTCGTATCGACCCTTGATCGAAAAGGGGGAGAAAATTAGGGCTTATGATTTCAAGAATTGGGGATGGATTGGTTTGATTGATTTATGTAATTCCTTCGATAATATTGTTGGATTAAACTGTAATGGTTACTATGGATTGTGCAATTAAGCTGCGAAACGCTCGGCATTGTCGCCGGATCGATACTATGGAGCTTAAGGATTGCATAGTGAAGAAACTGGGGCCTCAGCTGGCCCTAAAGTATTTCAATCTTGTTAGTAGATATTTGAGCTTAAGGCTTAGGAAAACGGCATTCGACAAGATGTGTATCGGGCTATTGGGGCGAGAAAATGTCTCTCTTCACAATGGACTTATCCGAGCAATCGTTAAAAACGTTTGCGCCGAAGATAAGTCCAAATTCGGAAGAGGGCGATCTTCGTCGAATGTGAAAAACTCATTTGGTTTTAGAAGAGGGAAATCTTCGATTAGGTCAAAGGATCGGTTAAGTCCGCTCGGGCCGAGTGGCGGGAAGCTCCGAATCGAAGATTTGGCAGAGAAGTTTCCGGAACAACAGAGTGCAACTGAGATGTTTTCTTTGGGCAGCCGACCTCCCGTCGACGTGAATTCCGTTGAAGATGGCGAAGAAGTCGAGCAAGACGCAGGAAGTCCCGGGATTTATAGTCGAACCGCTCTTAAAGCGCCTCTCGGAGTTTATTTCCGATCGAAAAATGAATTATGCCTTGGATCGTCGGCATTGGGATCGACAGATACTTGTTATTACAACGGCGGGCTTCCCGATTTCGCTTTGTTGAGGAAACGGCTGGAATGTATCTCGAGGTTGAATGTCTCGACAGATTGTGTCAATTTGATGAACAACGGCGTTGATGTGTTCTTGAAACGACTGCTCAAGCCCTGTCTTGATTTAGCTTCGGTGAGGGCGGAAGAGGTTTCTGTTTCGGTGACGAATTTTCGAGTCGTGGCGGAGACGAGTCCGTCGATGCTCGGAGAAAATTGGCCTGTACAGCTCGAGAAAGTTTGTTTGCACGCGTTGGAAGGCGCCGTCGATGATGCGTAGTCTCTGTTTTGATTTTTTTTTATGTTCTTTTCTTACAGCGACGGTAGATATAAATTTATGTGATCATCTTGCCTGAATCGCAACATCGAAAAAAAGATCGCATATAGGCTACAGAGGCGACGATTATTTCTGAAGTAAGCGTTCTTACCGTATAAAGGGATCCGGAAACTTCTGAGATTCCCGGAAGGACAGCCTTCGCAGTTCTTCTCCGGTCTATTGTATTCTGTCTTTGCTTATTCGGTAAATAAAGGTTTCGTTATTTGCTATGGTGCCGGTGTTTTTTAGCTCGTTGGTAATGTTGTGTTTGTTTTACTTATTCGATTTGTCGACGAATCTGATTTCTTATTTCGGACATGGCGGGGTAATATGAGTTTAAGTCATTTGCGCGTGCGTATAAACTCGAAGTTTGGGTATTATTTTTTCATCGATAGCTCTAAACAATTGTTGCATTATTGATAGGATTTGGGATATATTTTTCATGCAATTTTTTTTTTACGGTTGATTCGAGTGTATAATGAATAAATTTTTTAGATGAGAAAACTCAATGTCACATATTGTTCGAAAATGTGTCACCAAATTTAAACCTATGATCTTGTGGTCATAAATTTTGAAAATTTCTTAAACCTATGATGTATTTCTTGTTTGGATGTATGCTTTGCATTTATGTAAAGTAAATAAGAAGTTGAGGTTGGATTTTGATTGTAAGTTGGAATTGAGTTTTACTATTTAGTAATTCGATTGTGGTTAATTGTAAATTGGTTATGATATAATATATATAGTTTATAATGTGGTAATCCGGAACTGTTATCCTTGGGTGTGTTATGGTAAACTCCGACTAACCAAACTTGAGCAAATGCAAACCTACAAATTAAGTCCAATAAAGCAAGTGCAATTTGTGGCAGATAAGATATGAAGGTGTCAAAATTTGAATCTATAACCTCACGATTACGAGTTTATTTTCATATTACCGGACCATGTATTACAGAAAGAAAAGAACATGATAAATAATGTGTGAAAATATAAATAATAAATGGGAAAAAGATGGAACCTAAGAAAATATAATGCTACCTATAATAACTAAGACATTTATTTTACATATTTTAATTTTTATGAGATATTGTCATTTATGTTTTGTATTAACTATAGGTCCCAACAATATTATCTTATTTTCAAACAAATAACCCCAAATACATGTAAAAAAAAAAAAAAAACTAAAAAGGAAAAAGTGCAGACCACCAACTTTGTCTTGTCCTTATCCACTTTGAATACTCATTATACTCATTTCTTCAATTTTCTTTTTTTATTTTTTATTTTATTTTATTTTATTTTATTTCTTTAGATACATATACATATATGATTTGTTATGTATTAAAAACGAAGTGAATTTTATAAACCTACCATACATGTAAAAAATAAATAATAAAAAAAATCCGTACGTAGCAAAAGTTGCTCGAAATAAAATGGAAATGCACACAGAAATAATCATTTATTTATCAAAATTCAATTTTCAAATTATTACAATTGAAACACGTGGATCTCTGGCCCCAAAATAAATTAAATTATCAACACAATGAAATATTATAATATAATATAAAATAAAATAAAATAAAACACATCCATCCATCCAGCTCTTCACATCAATTAATTAGTTAAACTTCCCACAGTCAAAACGGATGTTCCCGTTCCGCGTGCTGGTCTTGACTCCGACCCGACCCAGTTTCGTCATCGCCTCAACAAACGAAGCGTTGAATGCTTTCGGGTCGGAGGCCCATTTAGCGACGGTGGGCCTGGATCTGGGGTCCGTGAATAGAACCTGGTCCGACGTGAACAGACCCTTCCCCTGTACGAGGTTCTGAAAGTAGACATTGTCGAACTTCCTCGGAGTTGTGGGGTCCATGTCGATGGCTATTCTGGGGTCCACAACCCTCGGACACATCCCCTGCAGATCCTTTGCGTAGGTCTTGTTCAGGGTCGGGTCGACGGGGCTCCCTGGGCTGAAGTTGTAGATCCGATTCGCGAACTTGCTGCAGTGGGAGAACCCCACAGTATGGCAAGCTGTATACATATACATATATATATATATATGAATTCGTTGACTTTGACTTTTTTGTTTAAGGACGTGTTTGGAGTTTTATATGATATTACCAGAGAGAGCGATCATGTCGGTTTGAGACAGGCCTCGAGAAGCAAACATGGCGTTGAGCTGATTGAGGTTGAAGTTTGGTTGTGGAAGATTCCCTTGTACACTTGCAGCTGTTGAGCTTAGTCCATCTAGCCTACCTAATTCCACCGTGTACGAAGGACCCCCGGCCTGCATTAATAATATTCATTTTTAAGTTCTTTTTAGACGCAGATTTTTGGAGAGTTTTGAAATTTTAAAATTTTAGAAAAAATATTAAAAAAATTAGAAAAGAATATTAAAAAATTGAATAGTAATAATTTTTAAAATGAATAATGAAAAATGAATGAAAGTTAGGTTAGGGTGTGTTTTAAATGTAAAAATAATTTTTTTATAATATAAAAAATAAAAAATAAATATTTGATTAAATATATTTTTTATGAAAAAAAAGTGATAGAATAGTGAAAATATTGAAAATAGCTTTAATTTTTCGATGGTCGAATGTAGGAAGGAATTTAATTTAATTAGCTAACCAGGGCGATGACGTCACGGGTCGCCAGTGCGAGAATGTCGGCGCAAGAGACCCGATTCCGGCACCGGGCGACGGCGTCGACGGCGGCCTTTGCTTTGATCACGGTGTCGAATCCGTCGCCGGCGAGGGATAAGTTGTCGTCGTGATCCTTTTCCGCCTTGTTCGCCGGCGTCGACGCCACAATCACCGACGCATCGCAGCCCTACATATATATATATATATATTGCACTTTAAGAAATTTAAATAAATTTAATTTTAGCTATAATTTATGAATGAGTTATATATGTATATAAGTTACCAAGACGAAGCAGTCGTGGAAGAAGAGGCGGATGACGGCGGGGATGGTGACGAAGGTCTGTTTGATTTTGGCCTGGACGACTCCTCGGACGATATTCTCGACGTCGGGGCAGGTGGCGGCGTAGTAATTCGGCCGGAGTTGGGCGGAGACGGCGGCGCCGGCGATTATTGCACAGACAAAGGCTAACCTTAAAGCTGCAAGGAAATTACATCTTGCTGCCATGGTGGTCGTACGGTCCTCCAATGCAAATCAAAATCAGACGCAGAATTAAGAAGACACTTTAACAACACGCAACTCAGATACCATTATATACATATATATAGATATCTATATATGATTGTGTAGAATTATTAATTTATTAATTATTACTGTAATTTTTTAAATTATGAGAGTAGTGGTCGTCGTTTAGCAAGTTGGCGTAGAATTTTCTACAGAATAAAAAATAGTACATGTAAGTATTATTCAATAGTTAAAGAAGCATTAAGATCGTGACATTTTTGCAGCTGCCAGCTCTCTCTCTCTCTCTCTCTCTATATATATATATATATATATACTTCTAGATTTGTAGTAGTATTAATTAAATTTATGAACAAGTAGTGGTGTAGAATGGAATGTTGTTTGTGAGCACGTTAATGCCGATTTGTAGGGATTTTCTTCTGCAAAAAAGTATAATTGAAAACAACATATACAGAATTGCTCTAATGTATTTGGAAAGAGAAGAAGTAATTGCATGCAAGAATTTACCCTGGAAAGAGAAAATGATATGTATATATATATATATATGTACGTGTGTTGTGATTTCCCAATTATAGAATGATATGGGTGGGTTTGGTTACCCATTGGTTATTACATTGGGACTTGTTAGAAATTGATTTATTTAATTTATATTCGATCATTTATAATCTAATATATATATATATATATATAGAGAGAGAGAGAGAGAGTTAAAACAAATTAAAATATGTGTTGAAAAAATAAATTATGTAATACAAATAAATAGAAAATATAAATATTTAATCTATTTATGATTAACATAAAATAATTTTATTAAAATAATGTGAATTTGAATGTATGTAGATATATTTATTTATTGAAATAAAAAAATAAAAAAAATTTAAATCATTTTATGTGACGTTGTCTAGTTTACATGATATTTTTAACTCATTTTGACGGCTATTCATTTTTTAAAAAACATCAATTCAAATATAACTTTGTTCTCATAAAATATCAAATCAAATATCAATATTTTATTTTATTTTTTCAAAATTAAAAAATATCCAAAAACCTCTAAAACAAAGTAATTCCTCGAAAATAGACTTGGTTTGAACATGAGTTTTGATGTGTTGTGCATTTTTTGTATTTTACAATAACAAAATTTATAAATAAAAATAGTATAATTGTTTACTAAGAAAATAAACATACCTATTTTTTTTTATGACAAATAAATAAGAAAAACTAGGTTTTTTCTTTTTTGTTTTTTTAATTTTTTTATGAGAGAGAGTAATATTATGGGAGAAAAAATTACCAGCATATAATGTCAATCGAAATTGAAATGATAACTAAACACGCCTAAATCTTGAATTTTTTAGCAGGAATGTATTTACTATTTATTTCTTCTCTTTCAAGTTGGATTTTATTGTAACTTGCTATATAAAAATAATTATGTAACGAATCATCAAATCAAATAGACAAAATTAATTAATGGTCACGAAAGGCAGTCACAATAAAGAAAAAAAAAATAAAAAGGGACAATGATTATGTGGAGGACACAACTAACTTAATTAATAATATCAATTAAACAAAGTCCAACATCTTCTTAATAGATATATATATATATATATATATGTTTAATGGCTTTGATTCTATACATCGATCATTGATGATCATAAATGTTACACTATTTAAATTCTTGTTCCCCAAGAGGGTGAGCAACATAGTTTATATTATTTTTATTCAAATTAAAAAGTTTAAACATAGACAGTGTTGATTGTTACAATATAACAACGACAATATTAAAAATAATTATCGAATAATTTGATAATTCAGCCGAAGCGATGTTAAAATTTATTTCCACAAAACAAATACACTATGATAGTGTCTTCACTTCGTGTCACGTCATTTTAAAAAATATTGTCGAAAAACTCGCCGGAGTATTTGCAGAAAAATAAATGTATATATAGGATGGGTGGCACACACTTTTTTTTTTGTTTTTTTTAGCCCGTTCACATGTCTAAATTACACTATTGTACCATTTTAGTAATAAGTATTTGTACAAAATTGAAATGAGTAGTTATATAGTTAATTGGCACGATCGTGACATGTGACTTGTAGGATTAATTAATCCCATTATTCAAAGTGCAATCAACTTCCAAATATTAAAAAATTGGCTTAATTAAATAATTGAGTAGAATTTTATTCCCCTCGTTTTTTTTTATTAATTAAAAAAGGATAGATATTAAAATTTATGCAATTAAGAAAAAAAAAAGTGTTCGATTTACTTTGATTTTCTTTTTTATTTTTTTTCTTGTAATGGATGTTGATTTGGAGTCAAACATCGTCTTTTTTTTTCTTTTCTTTTTTTGGTTTCAGGCATTTGTATTTAGGTGGTGATTGTTTTCAATATTAGTTTAAATGCAATAGTTTGTATAAGATTGTAAAAATTAAATAAATAAAAAATAATAATTAAAATAATTGTTAAGTGAACATGTTTATGTACTTTCTAAGACTTGCACTTTGTCCATTGTCATTACACAATATTTAAGACTAATATGATTCAAAGGCCCAATCTCTACTTTATGAGATTTAAGGGTTTGTTTGTTTTTTTATTTGAACTAAGAATTCTATTATTTAGAAAATAAAATAAAATAAAATAAAATAATAATAATAATAATAATAATAATAATAATTAGCACTTTTTATTAATAGTAAAAATAAGTTTTACTTGCTTTTTCATTTATATAGTTCAATATTATATTTATTTATAAAAATATCACAATTACTTACGCACTTAATTTAGCAAAAAAATTCTCTCATTTTATTTAATTTACTCACTTGTACACATTTTAAAATATTCATACTTTATATTTTATGTCACAATCAACTAATATAATTGTATTATATTCGTTAAAACTCATGTTCAACCCAAACAAACATAGATATGCTGAACGGATGGAGTATCATTCACTTTACATGATTTTTAATAAACGTAATCTTATATTAAAATTTTATTTAATTCAAACTAATTTTAAATTAAAATTTCAAAATCAAATCAAAACCAAACAAATCATAGGAGTAAATAATTTTATTTTATTGAAATTTACTATTATTTATCTTTTAAAATTTATTTTTCTTTAGTATTTGTAAATTTATATTGAGTTTGACATCATAGTTGAGAGTCCACAAAATTTTTATTTTATTTCCAATTAACTATTAGGCTTTCCTTCTGATGAAAATTTTTCGAGTTAAAACAAATTAGAAATTGAGCATAATAATAAAAAAATTAAATATCTAATATAATATTTTTTATATATAAATATCATTATTATTTCATTTGAAAAATAAGAAAATATATTCTTCTTACACTTAAATTTAATATTTTTTTTATTATACATCTTTTATGATTCTAATAAAAATATATTATACAGTATTCTCTAATAAAAAATCAAATCGAAATAATATTTAAATTATAAAATTTAAACACAAACCAAACAAACCCTTGTATTTGTTCTTTTGAAACACATTATTTTCTCAATAAGATATCACATTCAAATTACTGTTCAAACAAAAAATAAATAACAAAATAAAACAAAAACACATTAAAATTTACAAACCCAATGGTGTATTCTTTAATTTGGAATTTGATTTTTTATTTAAATAATAAATTGAATTTTAATAAGACAAAATACTAGTGTATATATGTATATTTTTATATGAAATTGTAAATATTGTATAGTAAATAAATTGAAATCAAAATTTCAATTAAACAGAGCCTATAGCTATGAGGCTTTATTCATTTGGTTTTTTTGTCCAATTTTTTACTTTTCAATATCCCAATCCACTTCAAATGTGTACATGTATACATATATATATATAAACAAAACTTAAATAAAACTAATATTTTTAAACACGACTTAAATTTCTCCAACCCTTTTTCCAAATAAAACTAAATTAAATAAAAAGTTTGGAATTGTCTCATGTTTCAAGAAAAGCATGGCAAAATTGTCAGCATTTGTCTTTCTGCGACGGAGCACCACAATTCAATAAATAATTTAATAAAATAAAATGTTGAATTTCCAAAATTCAAGAAGAGCAGCTATGGGTAGCACTGAAGATTATAGGGTGCAGGCATTACGTGCAACCAATTAAACTTTTTCCAAATAATTCCTATCCTAATTAATTAATTAATTAATTAATTTCTCCTTTTCATGCACACTTTTGATATATAATTTCTTAGAATAATAATAATAATAATAATAATATAATTAAGGGAAGGCATGCATGCATGCATGATGGTGCGGTAGAGGAGAGGAGGCGAGGCATGCGTAACGCCGTGGGGAATTGGATAATTAAAAACACGCTTTTAATTAATTGATCAGTTCTGTTCTCTGCAGTCACGCTTCTGCACTGTTGCGTTTTATATACATGTAAAAGTACAACGTGTCCGCCATTCTCAACTGTAGACAATTAGAAGATTCTACGCCTACTCACCTGCTTCAATATTTTTAAATGTAAAAAATAAATAAAAATTAATTAATTAATATGTATACTAATATTGCCTCTTGGGAGGGCAATTAGGACGGGCGTCCTGGATATGTTGTTACCATTTACATTTAGAATATAATTAATTATGATCACTTTGATTGAAAATATTATCTGAATTCAATTTTGTCTCAAAGTTGATTAATTAATTAATAAATTTTAATTTTATATCTATAATTAATTAATTATACATGCATGTATGTTGTTACTATATGGAGTGTGTTTTGATTTTGTTTTGTAGGTTTTGGATTGTGTTTTCCTGTGGTTAGAGTTCATTGATTACCGTAATTGTATATATATATATATATAAATTACAAGTGATTAGGAGTTTACCCAAAATGCACCTGAAACGTAACCGTTGCAAGTTCCCACATTATTATTAAAAAAAAAAAAGAAATACTGAACTTTAAAAGAACATATCATTTTGTACGTGATATATAAATATTTTTGTATGTTTTTATTAAAAACAAAATATATATATATATATATATATTGAGTTTGTTCATTTTGTGTTTCTCTAGCTATTGC